CACGTATTTGTTTAATTTATGTATTATTTTCCCCCATAAAATTGTCTGATCATCTCCTTCAGCTTTTCTTTTGAAATATTTGTCTATATCTAATTTGAATGAAGATTTAGTGCCATCCTTCAAAAGAAGGTTCAACATCCACGTCTTCCTCATCCAAGGCTTCATATTGCTTGTGAGTATCCTCCAATTTATCACTATTACAATGGCGATGTCTTCCTCCAAGATCAACAATCCTGGTGAACAATTTATTCTCACATCTCCAAGATCAACAATCCTCGTGAACAATTTATTCGCACATCACCAAAATTTGCTTACTTATCAAGTTGTCATCTACATCATTATATTTATTTAATGTTGAAGGAGCGCAACTTGGGTGATATTTGGTCTTCTTTGTAGCATCTTTTCAATATAAACATACACCAATAGTTCCTCATAAACTAGCATTTCATTAATGTTACGATTGCATAGGTAAATAAAACAAATTTCTAGTCCACTCGCAAAAGTTCAACAAATGGTCAAGAATGTCATTAAGTAGAGAAATGGCATAAAGTTTGAGAATTGCCACAATAAGAGCCAAAACCACAACAAAAACAAAGATGAGTATAAATAATTGGTGTGCCCATTAAAACTTGATAAAAAATGATTAATTCATCATTTAGGATCCTATAAATCTCATTATTTATTGGAAAGCTTGTATGTTAATTGAAAAGAATAACCTTTAGAAAGGTAATAAAGATATCTAGTCTAGACCATAATCAAGCTGGATAGATCTAGATTTTAGCTTGTGTGAGCTTGTTTGAATATAGACTTAGTGCATAAGCAAAGTTAGAACATGAATCAAGTTTTCTCATTTGTTTTACAACCAAGCTTGAACCAAAAAAGAGTTTTAATCAAGCTTATGTAAATGAAGGGGAGTAGTTACCTTGTCATACACATTCCATTACCTTATGTCAATAATTAATTATTCATTATGCATAATGTAATTAAAATAATTTATTTCCTATCTTCTAAGATCTAATGATTGCTAACATAACACCAACATAGCTGAGACATATTAATGTATGATTAGCTCACATAAGCTTGTATTTTATTACACATAGATAACTCATTATTATATTAGTGTCGAAGACAACAAGCTTTATACAAGAATATAGTTTTAATTAAATTGCTAATTAAATATATGAATCAAATACTAGCTATAATTAATTTCATTAATTTGCACTAGCATGTTTTACTTTAAATACAAGTTTTATTACTAATCAAGTCGGCTATTGTGTAGCTTAGCCTATAGCCAATTGTGTTGACTTTTCTTTTTTTTGCTTTTTTTTTTTAATTTAAACAGTGGGTGTTGAACCGAGCAAGAGCTAGTGTGAGAATCAAGCAGCTCTAAGCAACTTGGAAGCGAGACCGAGAGCAGGGAGGTGAGCAAGAGAGCAATTATTTTTTTTTTTTTTTTGGAGAAGGAAGCAAGCGGCGAGGACTTGTTCTTCTTGCGATTTCCTGTAAGAGCTAGAGGGAGGAGAAGGATTTGAAGTCTTTGCTTGTGTGTGACCTCGGTGGAATCGGAGAAGGATAGAAGCTGCTTCTTGTATGATTCAACCATCAAGAGGTTCAAATGATTTAGAAATTTTCTTCTTCTCTCTATTTTTTTCAAGATAATCAAGTGATTTCGTTCCCTACATCTTTAGATAAAGAAATTTGATTATGCTTTAAAAGATTAACCTAGGTCTAAAGTGTGTTAGGCATATGTAAATAGTTCATGAAAGTTAATGAAAAGTATATGCCCTCTCTTTCTTTGTGGATGTAGGCACAAACGTATCAAACCACATATATTCTTGTGTTATTGATTCTTTGGTGGTTGATTTTGATTTTACATTGATGCAGACATATATGAAAATTAGATTTAGATAAGGAATTTGCACGCTTAATGAGTAGGAGCGAATTAATTAAAGCTTTATGATGACTCAAATAAAAAAATAAAACCAAAGAACGGTAAACAGAAGCATAGGCCAAGTTACTTGCAAAAAAGTAAAAACCACATAATAATCAATTGCTCTATACGTTGCAAACGAAATGAGTTTCAACAAGAAATCCCTAATCTAACAATAAGAGTAGTGTTATGAAAGATCTCTCACACAACTCCTACTAAATTCTAGGCTTTAGCGGGAAGAATTAATACAACTTTTCATGAGTCAATTAGAACTATAATTGAGAGCGACTAAAATATAAAAGAGTAGGAAGAGAGATCACCCAAGTAAACAAGACAAACGAAGCTCCGGTGTGGGGTTTATGTGCTTGAGAGGAAGTAGACAGAAACTAGTGGCTTCTGGGGAGGCTGTTCAGTGACAAATTCCTGTTAGAGTCTTTGGACAGCAGGTTAGAAGCCGGAGACAGATTCTGTACAGCACCCTAGTAGGTTCGGCAAGCCTTGGACTGCTCTTCTATGCTACCGGAGGCTTCGGACAGCAGATTATGGCCTTTTAGGCTACTGGACAGCAGTTCTCCTGAGTCTGAAATTCAGGACATTAACTAGATCTTGGCCAAAATCCTGGAATTATTTCTGGACAGCGGCTGGTCTTCTCTTGGACAGCAGGAAATCAAGTGTTGGGGGCTAGGGTTGAAGTGGGTGGCGGGTAGAGAGAGGGAGGAGAGTTAATGCTCGTCTCTTTGGGAATCCCATTTAAGAAGGGAGGAATTACTCCAATCCAATTCAAATTTGATTTGAATTTGATTGGATAGTTTCCTAAAATAGAATTTTATTTTAGGAAACAATTTGAATTTGGGGAGAAGAGGTTTGAATTATTTCCAAGAGGTGAGATTGGGTTTAGGAAATAAATCCAAGGACTTAATGATGATGGGGCTGACGGCTTAATGGGCTAGAGGGGAGTTTAAGGAAGCTTTTAATGCTTCCTTAAATTAGGGAATCAAATTTGGAATGAGATATTTCATCCCAATTTAAATTAAAATCAATATGAGAGGATTTGGGAACTTTCCTAAGATAGGAATGATACTTTAGGTAACTTTTCAAATTCAAATAAATTTGAATTTTGCAAAGTTATTGAGTTACCTAAATTATTCAACCCAATTAGGAAAGGAGTAATTGTAGGCAATGATGGAGAGGAATTCCAAAGAGGAAAGGGGGCGACTTCGGCTTGGGTTGGATTGGATGAAGGGGCCGGCGGGTGGGGTGGGCTTTGGGTAAGTGGGTCAGTGGTTGTAGTGGGGAAGGAGGGTGGTGGCTTGAGGTGGTGGGGTGGGAGACGTTGGCCGGTGGCAAGGTGGGGGTGGCGAGGGGAAATCTGACGGCTAGGAGGAAAAGAGATTGAAAGAAAAGAACGATAGAACAAACCACGAACCCGGCCGTCTCCAAGTTGGTGGGTGATCCGTTTTCCCTCCCTAGGGATCTCACTCTGAAGGTCTCTCCTAGAACTTTCACAACTCAAAGAACACATGTGCAGGAATTTTCTTCTAATTCATTCATTACCCTCAAAGAAGAAGAGAGAGGCTTTAAATAGCCCATACAATGAGAAATTAAAAAGTACTACAATGCCCCTAGGGCTTACACATACCTAAGGCCCTTACGTAAGGGAAAAAAAGGGAAAAGCATAATAAACTTCATGATGTAGTCGTGGGCGTAGATCGACGGCCACACCTCTAGTAGATTTTTCATGTCTTGATGTCCTCATCATACATACTTCTTGCATATATATTTGTTATAGATTAGCTTGCAAGGCAGTTTAGATTCTTGCTTATGGATTTCAATACAATCTTGCTTGTTGATTTGAGAGAAAAGTTTGATCTCTTTGTAGTAGATTATTAGTGTTTGCAAGGTTATGATATAACTTAATTATCCATTCAATTGCTATTATTATTTCTTTGCAAATGTTAATCCAAAAGCATGTGGTTGATGGCAAGAATAACTTGGTAATAATATTACACAAAGTTTATCGAAGGAACTTTTCTAATTAATTGGAAACTAATAAGATTAGCTCGCTGATTTTAACACTTATCATTTGTAATTAATATAATTCTTTAATTACCTAAACCTTGAATTCACTAGCTTGTGTGTTGTGTAACTTGTGTTCTAATTGTAGGCAAACTAATGTTCTTAGTCTCTAAATCTTTCGTATAAGCGGTTTGCGAGTGCGTGTTTACAAATTTGAAATAGCAATTCTTTCACATGATAAGAACCCTTAGGTGAAAGTCTTAGTGGCTATAGTTTGGAAAAGATACTGAGTCAGTGGGATTTACAACAATATATATTTATTAACATATCACACTCGTTAATTACACAAAAAAAAAAAAAAAAAACTAGAAAGCAAATGAAAAAGTAACCTATTAAAGCTTATTTAGTTGTAACCTTATCGCTCAAGATGAGATAAATTTTACCATGTTTAAACTTTTAACATTATAGCTCAAACATGACTCATCCTTCATATTCATGTTCAATCTTTTCTTTTTTATGATTAACTTGAGTCAAGATTGAGTATTAATTGAGGTGAGTTCAGACTCTTCTAGTCATATAATTTTCATTATATTATGCAAATTTATGATTTTTCATTTGGTATGATGTGATTATAATGGTCAATTTTTTAATCTTCTAAGATCAAAAGACCGCTAAAATAATACCATAAAACTAAGTCGACTCAATGAATATTTGATCTACAAACATGTATTTTATCACATGTAGCTAGCCTGCCTCTATTAGTGTTGGAGACAATAAGCTATATATAAGAAAATTACACAATTAAGTTGGTAAACAAATAAAAGATACTCATAATTTCATCAAGCTGTTATCGAGCTACTCAGATGAACAAGGGACCATAAGCAAACAAGCAATATAAACTATTAGAGACCTGCTCATTTAAATGTCAAGCTTCATGAATTATGTTCAAGACATGTTCCATTTGCAACAAAATATAAAGAATTAGCCTTATAGAGTCTGAGTTACGCTGAATAGCAATTTTTCCTACAAATGACAAAAAGAATCAGACATTTACCTTTTTTATCAGAAGGACATGGAAGAAGAAAAGTTGAGCAAGTGGAAGAGTGGCAAGCATTGCTAGGAAGGTGCAAGAAGCCTGCAACATTAAAGAATATATTCTTAGTTAGCATTTTCAATTAGTCTTTTTATTGCCAATAAATTGATCAATATACTTATATTCTTATCAACTCTGCTTTGTTTTCAAGCTGGAGATGAACATAAAAGAGAAAAAAATGTTAACTAACCACCACAACAGTGAAGGGCGCCAAGGAGAAACTGCTTCCTAATTTTGACTTTATGTCCATCGCGTATCGCTTCCGATCAAGAAAACATAAAATCAGCACCATTACTCCAATTGACCACTGTAGAATAAGCTGCAAGCCCAAGCCCAAGTAGAAAAAGCCAGGAGACCTGTCAATAATTAACCAGAATGAAAGGGAATAGGAAAAAAAATGTGACCTACATTTTAGAAGCCCAATAAATACAGGACAAATTGGTTGATTGCTTATGGAGCTGAGATTATAAACAGGATTGCAAATGTTCAGGTGAGCGAATCGGTATAGATGACGAGAAGACAATACAAGAGAAGAATCAAGTATATCGAAAGGGAGACGAGTAAGAAAGAGAGAGAAAAGATGAGAAGAATATTTAATTTTCAATTCTTCATCAATTGATTTGATTACAAGTCTTGGGTACAGTGAATGAAAATAAGGTAAACCACAATCAAATTAAATTCAAATCTAATCCAATCTAACTTATTTAAATCCAAAAAGATAATCAATGCTAAGTTAAAATTAAAATAAATCTAAAAATTCTAACAAATTGAAATAAATCTTAAAAACCTAATTTCTTGTGCTATATCAATTTTCATGAACACCATAAAACTCTTCTCCTAAAGTGATAAAAGACCTTCAATAAGAAATCCAGTGGCCATGATGAAACTATGTGGTGGGATTGTCACATGAATGTATCATCTACTTTTTTCTTCTAGAACTTTCAAGAAATAGTTCAGTAAGTCATCTTTCGTTAGATCTAAAACATATCCAAAAGAATATTTTCTATGAAGATGTTTTATAACCTTCATGAAACAAATCAACAAATAAAAAATTATTGACTCCACGATGAATATCAACAATTTTGGAAGTCCATCAGCATCCTTCTGTGCTTGTCAATCATCCTTTCTATATAAATTATGCATCTTCAACAATTCAATATCTTTAGTTGTATCAAGGTCATGATTTTACGACAACATAAGAAAATTTAGAAAGCTTGAGAATAAAATTTAAGAATTTAAAAAAACCAACATTCTACAAAAGCATATTTTATTAACACCAATATCGAAGCTTATTCCTTTCTCCGGTCTCTCAATTTCGATCTATCAAATCAAGGAACCAAAAAGTAGATCTTGGCATGACGGGCTATGATGCGGAAGGCTTGCAGTGTAGTGGTTCCAAGCAGAGAAGATGCAAATGAAGAAGGTATGCGAGCATTTGCTTGGGAGATTACTCGTGAAGGGTGATCATAGCAAGTCACAAGTGAAGTGGCTTGAGAATCGCATATAAAAGAATCGCATATAAAGAGCAGCATGAAACCAAGATGCAATTTGGCATATGTTACAGTAGATGATCATATCAGAAGTAGTCAGAAAATGGCTAGGAAACAATCATGCAAACAAATGCAGAAAGGAGTTGCTAAGCATGAAAGCAGCAAAAAATGATTTCGTGCAAATTAGGACAACAATGCAGCTAGGGAAGGTGAGCTGATGGCATGACATACACATAATGCAAAGACCTTTAAGTAAGGAAATGTGTATCCTTAATGGGTAAATCTTTGAGGGTGTTTGAGAAAGTTAGTAAAAGATTATGTTGTGATGTTATTGTGCACAAAAAGAAACATACTACAATGGTGAACATGGAGGGCTACAGTGTGAGGTTGTAGATGAAATTTTGGCTTATAATCAAAGGAAAATGAACGTACGAAGACAATGACGAAGGATATAAAGGCCTGATATCACAAATGAGAGGATTCATTCGGCTCTCATGCCAAATGTTGCAAACGAACAATATGAGAGAAAATAATCAAGTCTTAGGAGAGACCGAGAGACAGACTAAAGAGGGAAGATAGAATAGGAGAAAGAAGAAGCTTTAATTTTAAAAGTAACCATCCATTGATTTGATTACAAGCCTTAAATAAATTATTTATAGAAATAAGGTTTATAAGATAAGAACAAATCAAATAAATACAATTTTAAATGTAATCCTCTCCAGACCAACATAATTCAAATTACAAATATATATATATATATATAAAAGAATAACTAATGCTTATTTCAAAATTAATAAATAAAACAACACTGGTAAATTTCTAGTGTTGCCCTAAACCTAATTTCAAGTGTTGCAGTAATTATAGCTGATTTCATGAGCTTAAAAAATAATAATAATAAATGGTGCTTACCAAAAGAATTGCTGAAATCATGAGTAAAAAGAACTTCCCATAGTTCTTTCTCCCAATGCAATTATTAAGCCACTGCAATTCAGAGGAAAGAGTTATTTTATTTTGTGTAGTATGTGTAGTATCAAATAAATGAAAAATATAACAGCATGTATAAGCCATACCCTGCAATGATGATCGAAGTGGTCAACACATTTGTCACAAACTCTACAGTGTTTACTATGCTTCATGACCTACAGAATAATAGAATTCAATGCAAGCACATTTAATAAAAAGTCATAGAAGCAAGGTTATGAAAAAGTTGCACAAAGTCAAACATAGAACTGAAAGAATGATAAGTTTAATGGTTCGACCAGGGTTGAATTTTATGATGTAATGAATATTAAAATTATTTAAACATGATATAAATGACATAATAATGATGTAATAATGATGCAATAATATAAAATGTGACTAAAAATAAATAGAATTATATACAAATGTGGGCTCCGAAAATTCGGCCCCGGCCTCCGCTCGCTTTTTCTGGTTCATTTTTGGAATTAAACAGAGGTTAACAACAAATAATATCTTCAATAATTGTAAATTTAAAAACTTTCAATCTTTAAATTTTTTTAACATTTAATATAAATTTATTCACATATAAGCTTATATATTTCATATCAATCATCACTAATTAATAAATAAATTCACATTATAAACTTAAACCAAAATTATTCATGTTAGACCATTATAACTAATAAATAAAAATAAATAGATTAAAAATAATTTTATATAACATATAACTATAAAAATAAAAAATTAAATATTAATAACTAAAAAAAGTAAGATTATTCATATTATTAAAAAATAACTAAAAATCAATTTAAAATATTTAGTGCATGTTATTTAAACTTCAGAATTTCAAATTAATTATTTAATCCCACATCATTTAAAATTTGTATATTAATACCATTTACATAGCATTTTTTTATTTCTAATGCCATGCATTGAGAAATCGCATGGGGTGTTAAGACCATGAAATATGCTTGATTTGACGCTTACTTTGCAAATTATTATTGTAGAAATTTAATATTCATTATAAAATAAAAGCATGTTAAATTTAAATTAATTTGTTTAAGCTCAATATTTTATACTAAACTTATTAAATTAATTTATTTAATTTCTTAATGGGATAGCAATTAAATCAATAAATTTTGAAAAACCAGGATCGATTCGTCGTTTCGCAAGTTGAACCTACGGTTCTCATTGATTCTTAATGATTTTTGCTGCAAGGAGAAGTTCTTAAATAGATCGAACTAGCCATATGATTCGTTCACAGTCGAAACAACCATTCCGGTCCAATTTTTAAATACATTAAAAGTGAGTTTAGAGTTATTTGTGGAGGAAAGGATTTCCATCAGTGCAAATGCTACAAATAGTAAAGAGTTATAAAAGAGCACTTAAAGATATTAGTGGAGGTAAGGTTATGAACCACATTTGACAGGCACGCCCGTAGGACTCAGCATGGTGAATTTATAAAGCAACACCAATAATAAAGCTTAATGATGGATTATTTTGAAAGAAGTTAATAGTTTGGTATTTACGTTCAACTCTTCTAAATGATTAGCAGATAATTCATTTGGAAGTAGTAATCAACTTTAAACATACTATGGCTAATGATGATGATCAGATGCAACCTTGCGGTAATGAATTCATTATGCAATGAGAAAAACCATTTGTAGCAGTTCAATTTGAAACCCATAAAGAAGGAAAGGAAAACATTTATGAAAAAGTACAAACTATCACTAAACTATCACTAGTTATCAAATTATCATGCAATAGTATATTTTTTTTCCTTCTAACAGATCACTGTAATCGTATACTCTAAGTATGCATAGTCTCAACAAAATAATTAAAATTTGGAACAAATAAGATGAAGCACAACACAATGAACATGACACAAAAATTAAAGGAGACAAAATACGCACTACAATTTCAAACAGATTAGTGCAATCTCAAAATGCTTGAGCATACCTCAACTTCACAAAGGCAACAGTAAAACATGCCATCTTCATTTGTTTTCTGTTCAGGAGACTGTTAAAGAGAGCAACATTATCCACTAATGAATGAAAGAGAGAAACATCCAAATAAAACAAGTAAGAAATATTTAACCTTCTCAATTCTTTGAGATGAGTTTTCACACATAGCACCCATCTTTATGTCATCATCCAATATCTTATTCACAGTTTCCGGGCCATGGTCTTCAATGATCAAGCCTTCTTCTCTAGAACCCTTTCTATAGCCCTTTGCCTTAAGATATTTCCTAGATTTGAAAACCCCCATGTCACCGGGATTTATCGCAGCACACCAAATATATAAACAGAAGACGCACATAGCCTGACAATAATTGCAACAATATTAATTCACAACATAATTTGACAAAGTATGCCCCTCACATTTAATACATATAACCTCAAAGCTTGGATATTGTGGAACTTTTAACAATATCAATCCGCTAAACAAGCAATATGAAAATAATAAAGGTATGCAAGGGTAACATATCTATATGGAGTAGAGAGGCAATGTGGTATGTGCCCCTACTCTTACTGAACAAAGAGTTGTTTCTAGATTTAAACCCAAACATATTTCCAAAGATGAAATTTTCAATGCATAAAGATACATTGCTGAGCCACAAATCAAAATTTTGTCATAAGGAGTAGGTTTTGACTTAATATAGGAAAATTTTATACTTTCATTATATACTTGAAGTATTCAAACTTCATGGCAAGTGTTGCCTTTCCTATAGTTTCCACAGAGTTTCTTCTATCAGATGATAATTTATTCATGAATTCGTATGACAGCAAAACCCTTCTATTTCAAACATCATAACATCTTGAATGCACAAAGAAATTCATGTTATAATAATGAGAATTAACACTATTTCAGCTGAAGCTTTGAGTTTATCATCCTATGAAAAAGCTTTCTTAATATCCTTCACCTCCGCACAGAGGACTCTTGAAAATTTATTCACAATATTCTTTACATAAAATTTACTCCATGTATGATCACTTAAAAGATACTGACAAATGCCGCTTTTTTCAACATAAGATTCATTTTGAAGTTTAAAATCAACTCAAACACCAAGGCGCTGTTTGGTAACATATTTTAGGTAGGATTTTAGTCAATATTTAGCTTAAATCATGTCAAATATAATTTTGGGACTACAAATCCTAATATTTTTCATTATTGGTTAAACCCAGCATTTTACAAATACCACTATTCATGGCATTTGATGGATTTAAGGATTTCTCGCACAAATCTTGAATCTAAAAAGTAAAAACATAAAGCCAAACAGTTTAGCCAGATTTATCAATATTTACTAGTTGTAATTAGGGGCGTCAATTTCGGGTCATGGGTCGGGTCGGTTCGAACCCGTAACTGACCCGGCAATGTGCGGGGTCAACCCGAACCCGACCCTCTTCGGGTTCGGGTCAACCCGACCCGACGCGGGTTTACGGGATTTGACTGAAGAAGGGTGCAAATATGAGGAGAGCTCCAGCTGGTTCCAGTCTCGACGAAGTCCCTCTCCTTGGACTGTGGCGAGCTCCCTCTCTGATTTGGGTCAAACGTCAAGGACCCAAGGTTTCCAGGTCGTCCCTCCCGGTGAGCTCCCTCTCCTTTCGCCATCATTGCTTCTGATCTAACAACAAAACGAAAACGAAGATGAGGAGAGCTCACTGCCGTAGTCATCATTGCTTCTGGCGAAATGATGAACCGGCGTCTGGCGGTCCCACAAAGCCGCATATGAAAGGTGAGGCGGCAAGCTCACTATCGTTGTTGCTTCCGATCCAACTGTGACGGACCGATGGTGACGGCCTGACGGACTGAATGCGACGGGACGAGTGAATGACATTGACGAGTGACGAGCTGACGTGACTCGCAAGTGACGGACGCCGCAGCTAACGAGTAATGCGGATGACGAGTGACGGGAAGTTTTCGGGTCAAATCGGGCTTGTTTCGGGTTTCCAGGTCAACCCGAAAACAACCCGTTTTTGTAAACGAGTCAAAATCTTTGACCCGAACTCGACCCGGTTCGGGTTCAGGTTGACCTGGACCCGAACTTTTCCTGTCAGATTTGAGTCGGGTTTTCGGGTCGTGTCCAATATTGACACCCATAGTTGTAATGCCAAATTTCAACTTTTAATCCTTTCATGATATATTATATTTAGATTCAAATGATTAACTACATCATATTTGTAGGCAAATAGCCCTTAAAAATCACAAAGGGGTTGTTTGGATGCAGGATTTAGGCCGAATTTGAGCGAAATCTAGCCAAATGGCCAAAAATGCAAAACCAAATCTCACGGTAAATGAAAGCCGCAGTTAATGGAAAAGTACCCCTTTTCGTGGTAAATCCCGGATTTCTAAAATCCTCAGGACGGATTTAACGCTTTATTAGAGCGAGAAGGAAGAAGAGTCTGTCCAATTCCAGGCTTCCAGCTATTCACCTTATCTCCTTACCCTCGCCTCTTCAGAACAACTCAAAAGCTATGGTCGTCGATAATCCATCATCGTGGATCCTCGCTATAATAAGGCACACCAACGCTCCATATTCCACAACTGCTTCTCGCAATAGCTCGATCCGTCGCGCTAGGGTGAATGTCGTACTTATGCTTCTCAAAGATACCAGTTGCACGGGAGCTATACAACCATCATCATGCCCAACCACGAAATGTGGTATAAAGGACTTTCAGTATATGCAAAGAAAGATTCCAAGTGTTGACTCACATGCGTCAATTTCCACTAACAGCTCAGGCTGATATTATTCTGGCATGTGCAATCTTGCACAACTTCATCGGGCATTATCACATGCATTACATATACTTTAACATGTTACAAATTGAAATGCATCATGATAGTGAGTTGGGTGATGTTCAATTCAATGACGAAGACCCAAATTTGTATGCAGGCATTGGAAAGAAAGTACTACGTGATTCTTTAATTCATTTAATTGTAACAAATAGGAGTGTCAATTTCGGGTCACAGGTCAGGTTCGTGTCGAACCCGGAAATGACCCGACATTGTTCGGGTCAACCCGAACCCGACCCGTTTTTGCAAACGGGTCAATTTTTCGAACCCGAACCAGACCCGCTTCGGGTTCAGGATAGGGTGTCAATTTTGGGTCACGGGTCGGGTTCGAGTCGAACCAGGAATTGATCCGACATTATTCGGGTCAACCCTAACCCGACCCGTTTTTACAAACGGATCGGTTTTCTGGACCCAAACCCAACCCGCTTCGGGTTCGAGTCAACCCGAACCCGACCTATTTCAGGAAATCCAGTCAGACCAAATGCTGCATCACGAGGCTTTTTCCAATTTTTTCCATAAAAAAAAAATTAAAAAAAAACTATGTGGCAACGGGCAACATTTCAACCAAATCCCACTTAGGATTTCAGCATGGCAGCAGCATTTCAGCCAACTAATATGTGCGGGCAGCTATACACGACAAACAAAGCGCTCGGGCAGCAACATTTAGCCAATTAATATGTGTGGGTAGCTATTCACTGCAAACAAAGCGCTCGGGCAGCAGCATCACTGCTGGCATGCGGCAGCTGCATCGCAGGCGACAGGCTACGATTCGGCAGGCAGCAGCTATGAGGTAGGTTAGCGGGCAGTGCGGGCATCGGCTATGCGGGCAAACCATGGCATCAGCAATACTGCTAGACACGGGTAAAGTCATTTTTCGGGTCAATCCGGGTTATTTTCGGGTTTCGGGGTTAACCCGAACCAGACCCAATTTTTTAAGCGGGTAGATTTACTGAACCCGAACCCGACCCGTTTCGAGTGAGGTTGACCCTAACCCGAAATTTTCAGGTCGGGTTCGAGTCGGGTTTTCAGATCGTGTCAAATATTGACACCCCTAGTTCGGGTCAACCCGACCCGACCCGACCTGCTGACACGACAAATGGGAGCATCGAGACAGCAGCGGCACTACGGAGACAAACCACGTGCGTCGTCCATTTGGCACAGCGACACTACATCGTCCATGCGGGCAGGCGGGTCTTCCGACATGGGCGCATAGCAACGGCACTACGGTGCGGGTCGGGCCGGTCTGCAACGAAAGCTCGATCACAAGTCGCAGCGGCGCAGCCCTTGTTGTCTTGTTGCGATCTCAGCAGTTCGGCACGACAGCGGCATTACGGGGACAAACCGAGTTGACGGAAGCGATGCGACAGGGCTGACAGGCGAATTGACCAACGTGAAGTGACGGATGCAAATCAAATGGACGTGACACGAGGTAGGAGACGAAATTTCGGGTCAAATCGGTTTGATTTCAGGTTTCTGGGTCAACCCGAACCCAACCCGTTTTTACAAATGGGTTGAAACCCCGAACCCGACCCGATTCGGGTTCGGGTTGGGTTTCGGGTCATGTCAAATATTGACACCCCTAGTAACAAATATGTGGAAGGCACGAGTAAGGCTCTCTCATATTAAGCTTAAAATCTTTGATTTTTCAAAATTTAACTTCTAACAAACAACTCCACTCACAGGTAGCAAGTCATCAAAGTCATTCAACTGGATAGCCTGCAAATTTGGGCACATGAAGAAGAAAGCAACTTTAATTTTTTTCGCAATTCAATTTATGTTCTTGTTGTACTTTTAACGAAATTTTGTTGTATTTCATTTGAACTTCTATTGTTGTACTTTAATTATTCAAGAAATAAATGTCAAATCTCTTAACCTCCTTAAATCCTGAACTTAATTGCTAAACAATCACATGGGACTTAATAGGATTTATATTGAATGTTGCTAAATAAATGTCAAATCTCTTACCTAAAATGTAAAATTATTCTTCACAACTCATTTTCAATACCTCCAACCAGTTTACATAAGCCCAAGCACATAAGACCTACCAATACCGCAACCCAAACCCTATACCCTTACAAGGAACAGCACGGGATAAAGTACTCGACTTGAAGTTCCATAAGCAGAGGTGAAAGAATACAAGTAAAAGAAAATGGAATATAAACCAACGTAGCATCCAACATACCAAAGGAGTGTAGATCGCCATCACCACGTACTCAACCACCTTCTTCCCAACAAAAGGAAGAAAAAAAACATAAAATGCAAACCCCAATGCCAGAAAAACAGCTATGGCGACAACCTGAACAAAGAAAGGTAACAAAAAAGTGCTTATTTCCAGAGATAGCAACGAGTAAACAAATAAAACTGAACGGAACATGCCTGAAGAGGATGGTATGGGAGCTGCCACCCATGCTTCCTCATTCCAGCTTGGGTTATGAGGACAATGCAGAGACAAAGATAGGACCAAGACCCAAAAAGTGGAGTGAGCGTTAGTAAAAATCCCAATTTTAGGGTTAGGAAAGCTAAAGAGTATATAGCTTCGTCTTCATCCACAAGCACTCCTCTTTCCTCCAAATTCTCTACTGGTAAACCCCACAGGAAGCGAAGAAGGGTTGTCTCGCAACAGAGGGAAGACTGAAAAAAAGTGATTTTTGGGATTTAAAAGGATAATGGGAGAAAGGGGGGCCTTGATCCTCACATGAAGCGGCAAGCTTGTGGGGCAGAAATTCGGATTCATCGGGAAAAGTGCGGGGCTGTTGGGTTTTTCTTGTTCTTTAGTGTGTGTGCTTTTTATGTCTGGGGGAAGTAAATAAAATAGGCAGCTGTAAATTGCATGGGGAAAGGAAAATCAAACCCTTCCAATAAATTGATCAGACCTTTTCAGTGACATCCTCTGGATTCGGTGTTAATGATTTTTTTAGTATAATAATATACATAGGAGTATAGGACCCTATTATTATTATCATATCTTGATATGAATTATTGACTATATTAAATTCAGAATAATTTTTTATTAATATAAAATTTTAAAATTAATTCAAATTTGATCAAATTATTATAGAAATATTTACATACATACCATTATATACTACTTTATTTATATATCTAACACAAAAAAAATTTAATATTACATACATACCATCAATAGTTCACTTTCATATCAAATGTGAATGAAATATATGGGTGGTGAGAATGAAATATTGGTGAATTATTTAATATTAAAATAATATAAGATGTTATGTATGTAATATTAAAGTTTTATGTGTTAAATATGTAAATAGAGTAATATAAAGTGGTATGCATATAAATCCCCCATTATTATCTAGGTCCAAATTAACCGAGTCGGATTTACTTCGAACGAGCCATTTTTTTAGATAAATGAGAATTTTTGTTAAATGTGTCATATTTATTGTAAAGCCACTATGTCACTATGGACATAATAAATAGGTTCACGGAAAGCATATTCCAATCTGATCAACTTTGCATCAGGCCCAAATCTGACCCCTCAACCCTAATTGACACTCTTATAGATATATTTTGAAATTAGTTTGGTATATTATACATAGTGTGCGTGTCTCAAAGCAAATCCAATAATTGTAAGATCTATCAAATTATTTAGGCTCGTCAAAATTAAGCATAATTTTTCTATAATAAAAAAATATATACAAGATTTTTGTTAAACTAATGAGGTATTTAATATATTCTTCATCTACAATTGAGGGAAATGGAACCAGTGACAAAATATAGGTTCCTTTTATAGAACTTTTAGGGAGATGTTTCCATAAATTTGGCGAAAAAAATGCTATGTCGAACAACCCATATTGATCCTCTGAATCAAATATCATTTTCTTAGCATTTGAGCGCTATAATAACCTCAAAATTGAATGATTTTGGGCATACATGTATATATAAAATAAGGCTTAAGAACAATTTTATAAGAGAATACAACAACAACATCAAGCCTTTGTCCCACTATGTGGGGTCGGCTACATGAATCCTTTTTCACGATTGTGTCCTGTTAAAAGTCAAATTCGCATTTAAATCCAATAAAAAAAGTTCATTTATAATATTTTCTAACCAAGTTTTTTTAGGTCTATCTCTATATTCCTTAACATAAGTCAAATCTAATACTTCAACTTTCCTAACTGGGCCATCAGAAGGATTTATTATTCTGTGCGGAGTTCCGATAGCATCTGGAGACCAATAAAAATGCGCCACATCACCTAAAAATGTACCGCGCTCGATACAGCTCAGTACCAAGCGCGTAACCGGACGAGAAAATCGTCTGGTGTCCGCACAAAATAATAGCTCCATCGGAAGTCCTCCGTTTAATGTGAGCAAACCATCTAATGAATATTTAATTAATTTTTAGAAAATAACAATAAATAAATCTACGAAGTGCAACTATGTGATTCCTCAAGAATAAACTATTATGTGTGAGTATGTCTTAATTGGCCTTAATATCTCAAAAAAAAAACTATTCTATAAGAATGATGTAGGCCCTATGTTACTGTGAGTCTATGACTATGCTATCTTTATCGATTAAGATAAACTCACACACATATCACATATTTAAACTTAAAATACAAAATCTTATATTTGATAGTCAAAACTCTCAACTAATAAATCAATATAAACATTTCTTTTGTTAATAATCAATTTTTTATTTAAAAGTAATAAAGAAAAATCAATATTAATACTTTCTAACTAAATCTTTTTAGGTCTACATCTACCTTTTTTAACATGAAATCATTTTAATCTTTTATCAAAACTAATATCAACATACGTTGATATGAACTGTTTATAATTTTTTGTATAATTTATTGCACATTCTTCTTATGAAAATATGATGATAAGCTAGCGAGGAAAAAGTTTACCAATTTTATTTAATTAAGATCCTGAAATTAGAATGTTGCATTTTATATATAAATAATTATTTATTTTAGAAAAGAAATTGTTAAGAGATATATTGAAAAATAATACTTGTTTTTAATTTGATATAGAATAAGATGATTGATTTAATTAATGAAATTGCTATAAAAATTTTTAGGAAAATATAAAAATAGATTATAATTGATAAATTTATTAAATTCATAATTTGATAGAACGCAATTAAACATCAATATTTCAAATTTCATAATTTTTTTTTATTTTCACAAATGTGATGATTTCACCTTTCCATGAAAATACGTTAAAAAAAGTTAAATTATTAATTTTTAAAACATTTTTCCTATTTACTAGCAAATGCATTCAACTTTTCTTTTTATTTTAGTGTCAAAGTGAGATTTATGAAAGATAAAAGAAATTTTTTTCTTTGTCAACTTGCATGAATACCAAAAATAATAAATAAATAATAAAATCTCTTTCTTTTATCAGCCAATACAGATTTTCAGGTCTGAAACATTCTCCAAACAAAATAAAAACTATACAGCTTGTATGCCCAAAAATATCCTATTGCCTTTTTTTTTATGATTATTACGTGTAGACGTTGAGGCGAATGAGGAGACCACACGTCACGCAATGCACTGTGCATTGGATGATGTGGCGCCACCTCATTCGCCTCCGGACACGTTCAACGTCCGCACGTAATAATTTTTCCTTCTTTTGAGGATCATTCATTGACTAAACAACCCCAAAATCATCAAAAATATATGAAAGATGAATGAAATTTTCATGACAATTCATTTGTACCATATCTAAAGGCTGATGTTAGTTCACTTCTGAGAAGATTTGAAATATATCTGCCCTCATTATTGTCACTGTCACTACCTTCTGCCAAAATGTTCAAATGGTGACCTCCCTATGACAGTCTTCTTTGCAAGTGTGCCAAAAGAGCTCTGTTGAGTGTCAAAGAAAATAACACCTTTGATTTACTTCATTTGTTTCCTACCTGCCACTGTAAGCAATGAATAAAGATTTTGTTAGTGAATCTGTCATTTTCAGTGTAATTGAAGGAGTTGGGAATGAGTAATAGATGAAGCTTCCATGGTTCTCTGTGAAAAAATTGGCTTGAAGTGTAATGCATGAACTCTTTGTTGTATTTATCTAATGGAGACTATGAATTATTTTTCTGAAAGTAAAAACAATGCAGAAATGATGATGATGATCATCAATGTCATCAGTTTTATTCCAACTATTTTGTGTAATTTTTATTTTTGTGGAAATGGAGTATAAGGTTTGCCTGTATGCCAAGTAATTTAGTAACATTAAATGTTAATTGAATAGTTTTGAGTGAGGCAGCTGCAAAAAAGGCAGAATAAATAATTCATATGAGGATTAATTATTCTGTTTGGATGCTGAACGTTGCCCGGAGACCAACTAAAATGCGCCACATCACCCATTCATTGTGTACTGCAGCTTAGTACCACTAACGTGGATGCACTTGATTCGCCTCCGGACATAGAGCTGCATCCAGCCTCCGCACAGAATAATTTCTCTCATATGAGAGCCTATGTTGTAATTTATGTTACCTCGTTGAAACCACGATCGCCGAACCGCTTGTCGAATTTGGCGTTCATGTTTTTGTAACAATTCATCAACTTTTTGGGATTTAGACAACAATGGCCCTGAGAATTCCACCCTGTCTCCTCCATCTTGGTATCCCTACAATTTCAAATATGAAAAATTAGAGTAGAAACCTTAGAAAGGAATAAAAAACCAAAGGAAATTGCTTTCCACATACCATAATACTGTGCTTTGATTGCGCATTATTTGCTCTTGAGAAATCCTGGGAATGGAATGCAGAAGAGGAATCAAATGAATCTGAGTGTTCCAGTTGTGCCCAATTTCTCAGCATTGCATTCTTCACCATCTTGTAATGCTCACTGCGCTTGGGATGATCAATTGCCTCTTCTGCAGATTGTCCATTCTCAAAATCAGAAGTTACTCTAGCTCTAATAGCAACTGGAGGCTCCTCCAAGCCACAAGTAATGCTTCTTGAGCTGCTAGATTTACTTAGTGATTTAACAAATGGATGATCTTCCTGCTGCTTCTTCACCCATGCAAAACCAGTAGAAGGATTAACATGCAAGGGTCCTGAGAAAGGAATGTCGTCTTGAGAAATGTGCGTCGGTTGCGGATCCCGATCAGGGGGATTAAGTGCTGCCATTGGCTGAAGATCAACAAGAAGTCTAGATTCACCTTTAACTATTGGACAAACTATCTTATTGCCACTCCTTTCAGTTCCATGATTTTTCATCTGAGGCTCTGCCTGCCAGTTAACATCATTTAGCTTTGTTCAGTGTGCAATTTTGATATGGTTCATATGCTTCGACACTCAAAAATTCCAATGTTTGAGTAAAATATACTGATAACACCCATCAGATAAGTAGGCATACCTCATGATGATTTGCTAATCTACTCAAGCCACTTGATTGTTGAGTTTCCTGATGCACCCTTAAAGGCCTCCTTTTTACTTCTGCAACACGAGCTCTTCCGTTGATCTTTGGAATATTTTTCCTGAAAAAGACAACACAAAGATGTTCAATTGGTGGGAGATTTTGAGAATGAAAGGCAAATCATGCAAGTTTCATTCAAAAATTAAAATCAAACTAGAAGGACTTTTAGTTGAATGAGAGAATTCCTCATATTTGTATGATGGATAGTGCATTCTTTCTGAAGGTTTATTGTCATTTCTGTTGTGGAATCTGTGGTAAATTCAACATTTAATTTGCCAAAGTTGGGATTCAAAAGAGTTCATAATGAAATAAATTATCTGAGAATGTCTCATGCAAGCCCCAATCTGAACATTCAACCCTTTATTGATTAAAGTTTTGGATTCCATGATAGTTAATGAAATATCACAAGTGCAGAAGTTGAATAATTTGTTGGCTGAAAGTGAATTTCAGGCAGCGGAAATCTGAATTAGAGAAGAAGTCTCGTCAAGGACACTTGAAAAGCCTTGAAATTGATGAAATTTGGAAGAAAGCAAACAAGATACAATAGATCTTCAATTCGAGAGGAAAATCCTTCTCTCTCAATCCCTAGCCGACAACTAGAGCCCAAACAAACCTAAGAGAACTCCAAACTTTAGCAAAACATAGATAACCCTAAACCTAGGGAAAATAATCTACTTAAAGCAAAACAACAAACATCAAAATCCTTAAACAGCCCTTTATTTTAAATTTTCCCTTCTAAACCGCCTCCCCCCTTCTTAAAAATCTTCAAATAGTGGGCCCCACAAGGGGTCAGGCTGCTTGCTAGCTTCTCCTGGTATAAACCAGGGGCCGGCCTTGATTCTGGGCTGGCTAAACCGATCCTCCTTGGACTGGTCTAACAGTTAACTTCTTTGAACGAAAGAAAGGTTTTTAAGTGTTCATGGTAACAACGACAAGAAAAAAAAAATTAGTTAAATGAAAGCTGCAAAACAACTTTCTTAGAATTATACTCATGGTAGCTTTCAAAATACACTTTAATGGATTTAAGCTTTTTTATATGTTTAATTAATTATTTATTTTATTTAATTATAGACAAACTGCAGCAGGTCAACTCAGGGTTAGGTTTTCTAATATAACTAATATGATGAGGAATCATTGATCACTAGTAACCAAGTACTTCAACTAACTATGTTTAAATGAAAACATGTGGTTCTAGAGTTTAAACCCAATTAATAATGAAATGACAGTAAGTATCCGAGAATTTTAATAAGAATTTGAAAACAAATAAAATCAACAAGCAAACAAATTAATTTTCATAAAACTCATATGATTTACTAGAAACAGACTACAATACTACACAATGAAGAATAGCAATGCCAAATGCAGCATAAAAACAAACAGCAATGAAAAGTAAAGATATTTTTGAACATGATAATTTAGTGTCGTTGGGTTCAAGACCAGAATAATTCTACAGTAAATTATTAATCATAAATATTAGTTTAATCTTGAAGGATTAAGTTGGGATTAGGGCATTAATCTATTCCTTGTTCGATATGCATCACTTGTTTGTACTGAAAAGTTGAAGCTAATGTCGGAACATAGTAGAGTTTATGCTCCTTGGAGGAAAAATTTGGGCCAAGGCAGATTAAACAAGTTAGACTGGCAAAAAATATTCCTACAAGGGAACATATGTTGCTTCCGTAGAATTAACAATTGAATATACATCTAATCATAAGCTAATCTCGAACCAAGCGTTATAGAATACAACTTCAGTGCTTGGACTGCTAATGACAACTGTTCATCTTTTTTTTTTAAGTAAATTTGAGTGCCAACAAGAATATTTGATATAGGCAGAGTTTGATCTCAAGACCTTAGCAGCAACAGAAGTTTTTACCAACTAAACTAGACTTTGAGTGCCAAAAAAAACAAAAAAAGATTTCACGAAAAACTTAATAGCTATCATTTATGTGAGGCAAAATGCTCGAACTTAACCTGCTTGCATCCTCACGACTTTTTGCATCAATCTCTTTGGTAGGAGGGTGTTTTGGCAAACTTGATGGTTCACACGCGGCAGGCTTTGTTCTGAAATACTGTGCAAGAGTAAATATAGCAAATTGTAAAATCATCGCATATAGTATAAAATCTAACAAGTACTACAATAACAAGCCTTTATCCCACTGTGGGGTCGGCTACATGAATTTTTTTCTCCATTGTGCCTTGTTAAAAGTTAAATTCTCATTTAAATCAAATAAAGAAAGGTCATTTCTAATATTTTCTAATCAGGTCTTTTTAGGTCTACCTCTACCTTTTTTAACATAAGTCAAATCTAATACATTTACTTTCCTAACCGGGTCATCAGAAGGCTGCCGTTTTATGTGACCAAACCATCTAAGGCAACTCTCTCTAATCTTATCTTCCACTGGAGCTACTCGAACATTTTCAGTATATGCTCATTTCGTGTCCTGTCTCTAAGCTTAAAGCCACTCATCCACCTGAGCATCCTCATCTCTGCAACACTTAACTTAATATTATGTTTCTCTTTTAATGGCCAACATTTTGCACCATAAAGCATTACAAGTCTAACCAACATCTTATAGAATTTTTCCTTAAGTTTGAGGGAGACTTTTCTATCACACAACAAGCCCGATGCAATCCTCCACTTCAACCATCCAACTTGAATTCTACTAATAATATCTCTATCTCTTTCACCATCACTCTGAACAATAGACTCAATATATATAAAATGTGTACTCTTATTAATGACTTGATCACCCAAAGTCACAATCATCCACTAGAACTATTATTACTAAAATTACACTCCATATATTCAATTTTAGATCTACTCAAATGAAAGCCTTTAGACTCTAAGGTTGACCTCCATAATTCAAGTTTACCTTCAACTCCCTCTCTAGTCTTATCAACAACAAGGATATCATCAGCAAAAAGCATACACCATGATACAATCCCTCCACTAGAACTACAATTACTAAAATCTAACAAGTAGTACAACAAAAATTTTAAATAGATGTAGCAACTAAAACAACATATAAGATTACTTGAACATGTATGATAGGATCATCATGAGAAGAAGTGGAGATCTGAATCATACCTCAGATGCTAGAGCGGATGTCGCAGTTCCCCGCTTTTGAGGTTCTACAGATAGAAGTACTTCTAACAACTTGTAGGCAGATTGTGGCAAGCTTTTGAAAGTCTCTTGTAGGTGACTCTCATAAGGATGATGTGGTTTGAAAATTGTTGCATGAGGCAACTTGGACTTTTTCCAGTATTCATCAGATGGGGAACCACATAGCTTAAGGATTTTATGCAATTGTTCAACCTAAGGACAGAAGAAAATGTACCATGACATCAAAACCACAGAAATGAAAGTTAAACCATGGAAATTTAATTCTAATTAAAGAAAATGTTCATATTAGTTAGAATTGGGAAAAATGCAATCAAGTAGCCAACCAAAAAATCAGACCTTGCATGACACATATTTGAAACGACTAGACATGTGATGGAACATGGATATCAGTTTGTAAACAATTTTTGACAAAATTGTATCCTTTGCACCTAAAAAAAATTTAAGCTATAAAAATGTTCCATTGAATGTTTACTTGAGTTCATCCACTAGGAAGCACCAAGAAATTATGTGGTTATTTTTAATAAAAAAAACTCTTAAAAGCATTATAACCATTGTCTATTTTTCCTTAGTTATGTTTTCAAATTAGGAAGGCAATTTAAACAGGAATTTATATAGAACACCTTCCTATTTTCTGGCACACTTATATGCGAATAAAGGACAATAAAAATTAGTATTTCTCTCCACATCAATTTCATTCTTTGTAAATGGTATCAAAGCCATAATGGTTCTTGACCAACCTCACCTAACCCTCTCTCATCCAACCGACGGCCAACTAAATCTCCCCCTAAATCAAGTTGAATACTCCTCCACCTCCTCCAACCCAAACACTCATACCATCATCAATCCACTTATAAAAATCCTACTCTTTATCTCCATTAACATTAAGTCCAATATCAAACTTACACAATTTCATATCGTACTTATACCTTTAATAATATTGATAATCCTAGAAGTGAACAAAATATATAAAAATTAATACACAAATATGGAGTAAATTATTATTAAATTAGAATTTTATTAAGTTCATAGTAAGCCACTTGCTAAATAATAAACGGGCATGTTTACGAACATAAATGAATAAGTGGGTCAAAACTTAAACTTGTTTATTATATAATATGATGTAGAACTATATGCTAAATCGGAAACTTGCACAAAATATTTAAGAACAATTTCAGATTTTCGTTATTAGCGATTAAAACAACAACGTAAAACAAATAAACGGTTACTTCTGCTTAGGCTAAGCCACACAAGAGACTAAACCACATCAAAACACTTAGAAGAATTAAAATATTGCATGATTAGTAGTTTCCAACTTAACCAAACTATAACAATGAGGACTGGGAGCAAAGAAGTAACAAATCCTACTGGAGCTACTCCAACCTTTTCACATATATGCTCATTTCGTATCCTATCTCTAAGAGTAAAGCCACTCATCCACCTGAGCATCCTCATCTCTACAACACTTAACTTAATATTATGCTTCTCTTTTAAATGCCAACATTCTGCACCATAAAGCATTGTAGGTCTAACCACCAACTTATATAATTTTCTCTTAAGTTTGAGGACTTTTCTATCGCACAACAAGCCCGATTCATCCCTCCACTTCAACCATCCATCTTGAATTATAATAATAATATCCCCATTTATTTCATCATCACTCTAAACAATAGACCCAAAATATCTAAAACGTGTACTCTTATTAATGACTTGATCACCCAACGACACAATCCCCCCACTAGAACTATTATTACTAAAATAACACTCCATATATTCAGTTTTAGATCTACTCAAATGAAAGTCTTTAGACTCGAAGGTTGACCTCCATAATTCAAATTTACCTTCAACCCCCTCTCTAGTCTTATTAACAAAAATAATATCATCAACAAAAAGCATACACTAGAGTACAATCTCCCCATTAGAACTATTATTACTAAAGTCTAACAAGTAGTACAAAAAAAATTTTAAATAGATGTAGCAACTAAACAACATATAAGATGACTACTCGAAAATGTATGATAGGCTCATCATGAGAAGAAGTGGGGATTTGAATCATACCTCAGATGCTAGAGCGGATGTGGCAGTTCCCCGCTTTTGAGGTTCTACAGATAGAAGTACTTCTAACAACTTGTAGGCAGATTGTGGCAAGCTCTTGAAAGTCTCTTGTAGGTGACTCTCATAAGGATGATGTGGTTTGAAAATTGTTGCATGAGGCAACTTGGACTTTTTCCAGTATTCATCAGATGGGGAACCACATAGCTTAAGGATTTTATGCAATTGTTCAACCTAAGGACAGAAGAAAATGTGCCATGACATCAAAACCGCAGAAATGAAAGTTAAACCATGGAGATTTAACTCTATTTAAAGAAAATGTTCATATTAGTTAGACTTGGGAAAAATGCAATCAAGTAGCCAACCAAAAAACCAGACCTTGCATGATGCATATTTGAAATGACTAGCCGTGTGATGGAACATGGTCAATGCCAATCGCATGTTGTTGATGTTTCAGTTAACTTTGTAAACAATTTTTGACAAAATTGTATCATTTGCTCCTAAAAAACATATAATCTATAAAAATGTTCCATTGAATGTTTATTTGAGTTCATCCTCCAGGAAGCACCAAGAAATTATGTGGGTATTTTTAATTAAAAAAAAAACTTTTAAAAGCATTATTACCACTGTCTATTTTTCCTTAGTTATGTTTTCAAATTAGGAAGACAATTTAAATAGGAATTAACATAGAACACCTTCTTATTTTTTGGTACACTTATATGTGAATAAATGACAATAAAAATTAGTTTTTTTCTCCACATCAATTTCATTCTTTGTACATGGTATCAAAGCCATAATGGTTCCCGACCAACCTCACCTACCCTCTCTCCTCCAACTGGCGGCCAACCAAATCTCCCCCTAAATCAAATTGAATACTCCTCAACCTCCTCAAACCCAAACACTCATACTATCATCAATCCACTTGATAAAAATCCCACTCTTTATCTCCATTAACATTAAGTCCCAAATCAAACTTACACAATCTCATATCGTACTTATACCTTTAATGATATTTATAATTTTAAAAGTGCACAAAATATATAAAAATTAATACATGAATATGGAGTAAACTATTATTAAATAAGAATTTTATTAAGTTCATAGTAAGACACTTGCTAAATCATAAACAGGCATGCTTACGAACATAGATGAATAAGTGGGTCAAAATTCAACTTGTTTATAATATAATAAGATGTTAAAATATTATTTAAAATTGTTCAATTATGTGAATAAACGAACTTCATATGAGCATTATCAAGTTATTCATCAAATACACTAACTCTCTTACAAACCTAGTCTAAAGAGGGGAACTACAGACCTACATCACTAGTAAGTTTACCACTTTTCAAACTTCAAGCAACAAAAAAAGTAATAAGTAGGTTTGGTCTACAAAAGTACTTAAGGAGCTAAATACTCTTCTATCTCAAAAGTCACATCTGATTACATCTCTTTCCCTTCCACTTACAAATGCCTCTGGTGGCCGAATATAGTCTTACCAAGGAAACAAGAAAAATAAACTATAAGTACTTAGATGACAGAGCTAATTACCTCAGTTCTTCCCTGCAAGATGGGCTTCTTGACAAACATTTCTGCGAATACGCAACCAGCACTCCATAAGTCAACAGACACTCCATAATCATAAGAGCCTAAGAGAAGCTCAGGTGGACGGTACCACAGTGTAACCACACGGCTAGTTAGTGGTTGCTTATTTTCAGGATGTATGAAGTTTGCCAGGCCAAAATCAGCAATTTTTAATATGCCTTCATCATTAACTAGAAGATTGGCGCCCTTAATATCACGATGGATGATTCCTCTTGAATGACAATGCTCAAGACCAGATAACAATTGCTCCATTAAACACTTTACCTGGAAGATAAAATTTTACATTTTCCAAACAAAATTTATGTCAGATGACATATTATTTGACCAAAAAGGGAAGATCTGACTTCACTCAAGAAATATTAACCTGTGATTCAGAGAATTTTATGTCAGGTGACGATGAAAGGCCAGCAAGATCATGTTCCATATATCCAAATACAAGATATATACTACATGATAACCGAGAAGTAACCAAACCCTCCAACTTCATCACATTGGGATGGTCAAGTCGGCGAAGTATCTGTATTTCTCGTGCCATAAATCGGACACTCTCAGGCTCAAAATTGTCAAACCGCACCTTCTTTAGGGCAACAAATTTTCCTGTTTCAATATCCCTTGCTCTGAATACAGTGCTATAGGTGCCCTGCCCTATCTTCAAATGCAAGTTGAACATAAAATCTAATAAGTAGAAAACGAAGAAAAAACATGTAGAACTTGGAGAAGCAAGAGCAGAAGTTTCTCAACATCAAAACAATGGATGAATTACAGCATAAACAAATAAATAAATAAAATACAGTTAGTTTAACAAGAGAATTATCAAGCTCTTGGCCTGTACATGGCTTCTTGAGCAAATGTATGAAATGGTTGCAACATTTATTTTAGATTTACTATTACATTAGACTTTTCTGAACTATTTGAGGTCAGCACCCAGTTAAATGTCCAACAAACAAAAAAGAAATACACCATGTTTAAGCTAACATCATTAATGTCTTAAACATGCAAAGAAAGTTATGATCCATATTAATTTGCGCCTGTAAATGACTATCTTAACTTGGTCAAAAGATGAGCATGCATACAAGACAAATCCAAGGATATGACGCCTTTATTTAGTTCTATTTTAGGGTTTCTTTAACAACGCTTATTTGATGATCACTAATGCCAAAGTCTTAAGCTGAAATAGAGTAACCAATTTCCTCTCTGGTTTTTGAATTTTATAAAGGTAAATGGATAAAGCTTTATATATGTTCCTACAGAAAGGAGCTGTTTGGTAGAATCTAGGATTTCATTTAAGTAGGATTTCATAAATCCTCCAAATCCGGATTTGCGAAATCCTGGGGGGGTTAAATCCTGAAAACTGTTTGGTAACATTCATGATAAATCCAGTTAAATTTTGTATGACCGTTTGGCTATGCAAGTCAGGATTTTTAAGGCAGTTGAAAGAAAAACAACTGGAAACGTTCGGACTTCGTTCGGACTTCCTCCTCTCGCGCGAATAAGAAGTTGAATCTGCCGAATCGGTGGATTTACGAAATCCGGGATTTACCGCAAAAAGTGGTCTTTTTCCGTCAACCGCAGCTTTCATTTGCCGTGAGATTTGGATTTGCATTTTAGGCCGTTTGGCTGGATTTCGCCCAAATCCGGCCTTAAATATGACATAAATCTGCATACCAAACAGCCCCTAAAAGGGAATAAATACTGTATGAACTATTCCTATTTAAGTATTGATGTGTCTCTAAAATGTTCATATGATCGGCACGAATCTCAAAACTATTTAAACCGAAAATCTTTGGAATTAAATTCAGCATCAACCGAACTTTGATTTCAACAAACTTATAGTTAAATTGAGTGACTCGACGAGAAAAATTCAGCAAGCTCAAGATCATTCAATTCTGATATCATTAAGACACTCAAATATTGCATAAACGATTTATAATCAAGGGAACTAATATGAACCATTCAATGTAGTATTTTGAATTCTAATCAAATTTATCAAAATGCTCATCTTAAAAATCTAAAAATAGGGTCTTATTTTATACTTGAAGAGAGGCTCGAGAGTTGAGAGAGCTTCCTCTATTACCTTTTTCGATGATTATTGCCGATGATCACCATCAACAATAGTTACCGCCATCGTCAAACTTATGTCATCCAACTATTGTTACTTGGCCATTAACATCTAATCATGTTGTTGGGTTTAAACTATCTTCTTTTGGACAATCAATTTCTACAATTCCTATAATGGAAATTAGACAATTGTTCTCAACTGTGTATGATCCAATATTCTTCATTTGTGAGAAATGAAGGTTTTTCGCATCTTCTATTATATAGTGGATTATTGCAATTTAGTCAAACACCATGATTTTTCCATTCTGGAAATTTTCACATAAAAATTAGAATTTGTCATAACGCATACTCTACTAAAACAATTTTTCAAGCTACTAAAACAATTTTTCAAGCGCAGAAATGTTATAGAATTGGAATTTTCCAGCTAAAATGTTCTTTATTCCTTGCATTTGTAAAAGTGTGATAATTTGACTAATGGAATGTGTATATAACCAATTAATAGAACCATGGTCCATGCGCAGTGTTTGCTGCTATTAAGAACCTTCTTCTATAACTACACTTTCCACAAGCAAAATGCCAAGGCCTTGATCAATATCCTGACTGGCTGTCATGGATCTTTCTGAAATACCATTAGTTGCATATCTACACAAGCTTTTATGCACTTAGCTGGTTCATATTTATAAGGTGCCAAAATATTTGATAATTGGTAAAGACTTATCGAATGTTAGATTGGTAGAGCCATGGTGTTTCCATACTCCAAAATTCAATACTAAATCATAAAGGTTATACCAAGGAAAGACAGAATCAGATTCATACGTTGAACATCTAAAAGAAGACAATGCTATGTAAATAAACAACGAGTACAAGCGATAGGGAGCTGCAATCTTTTGTTCAAAGAATGCAAAAACTGGGAAAATTTCATCATAAAATGCAGCAAGTTGAAACTAAAGATTCAACAAAACTTTCACCGAGAGAGAACTACACAAAAGCATCAGCCAACAAAACTAACATACCTACCATCCTTGTCATCTAATTCACCTAACAAAGCTTAAATAAATGAGCAATTCTTGAATTATAAATGCAAAAAACAGAGCAATACGATCCCTTCCAAGCTTGAACGCCTTGAAAGAAAAACCGATAAAAAATATATAAGCAAAGCACGCACAATGACTAAAAATAATTTACCATGAATTGTTTCTTCTTCTCCATAATTACCTTATCCAATTTCTCAAAGTTGTCAGCTTTGAGGGGCACCCATCCATTAATCGCTTCACCAGCCACGGCGGTGAGCCACGCCGGCCATCCCGCGGCAACTTGTTCCCCTTCAATGTACTTGTGAAGATTACCCAGTCGAACGCTCACCGAGCTAGACCGCTTCAAGATCATTCGCCCTGATTCCGCCAACTCTTCAAGCTTTCTTTCTTCCTCCTCCTTCGACCTATACCGCAAAGATTTCTCCAAAAACACATCAGATCCTCTATGATCCTTAAGAATGCCGGACGAATCCAGCGCTGGCGTCACCGACACAGCCTTCTTCGACGCCGCGCAGCCCATCGCCGGCGCCGGAGTGTTTGGGAGGAATTAAGACAGGAAATGGGAGAATAAGTGAAGGGGGATGTGAGGTAAAGAAGACGCGTAGAACCAAGGGGGCCCTGGCCCTACCCCGGAAGAAAAAGTAAAGAAAGGCTTGACTTCTATACTCAAAAACTAGGGTTTTATTGGATGCCACAGCGCGGTTTGGATATAATCTTTGCGAGATTAACGGGTGATGGGAGTAGAAGAACTTTTTAGTAGTAAGGCGTCTCCACGAAGGTTCTCGCGCGAAGAAGCCTCGTGGATTCTTGTACACTTTACCAGTCTGTAAAAGAAGCGGAAAAGCTGTAGAATAAATATAGCCGTTGGGCTCAAAAGAGTTGGGAAATTTTATGGGAGCTACCAACAAGTTCTGATTCCAAAGAACAAGATAAATAGTAAAAGTAACTGATATTTGCCAAAAATAAAAATACAATGTTTTTTTGTAGAATAAATAAAGAGTTTTATTATTTTCTCAAGTTTAAAATAATTATGTTATTATAGAAATGTTTTAAATGTTTAGACAATTATTTGCTCTATGTTTTCATCTTGAACTATCTAGGGGTGTAATTAGTAGAGTCAAGCTAAATAAGGCTAGCTCCAATTTGAATTTGAGCTTATTAGTTGATGGAACTTTATATGTATTAAAAAAATTCATCTACATGAATATCAAGGCATTATTTGTATTAGGTACTTATAACTTAAATGCAAAGTCATTTGACCTTTAATTTCAACAAATTTATAGTCAAATTAAATGTCTCTGCAAGACGAGCCAAATGACACTATATGTGATTTGATCTGAGTTCAAATAAGCTTAAATCAAACATTTAAAATATAGTTATGTTGCGGCTTGGAAGATTCATAGCGGTAGAGTGAGTACACTTTTTGTCTTAGCGATGCACGGATATCCAGCACACAAACAGAAAGAGATGAGCAAAACACCCGATCTATTTTACGTGGAAAGCCCGAAAAGTAAAAAAATCACGGGGCCTCGCCCATGTGAAAATATTCCACTAAACTTGATTGAGTTACAAGGGTTGACCCGTCCCTCAATTTAGAGGTGGTCATATTACAGTAACTTGAAAAGCTAGTCAAAGGTCCAATGACAATCGAATGGAAATCCGGCGGCTTTTATGCAGAAGTTTGGTTGACAAGGAACGATTTGGCGAATGTCTAGTGATGAACGGCGGCCGGGTGGTGGTCCGGCGATGGTTGGGCTGAAGTCCGGCAACGATCAACGGTCGGGCGGTGGTCTGGCGATGGTCGACGGCCGAACGGTGGTCCGACGGAGGTCGGGCTGAAGTCTGGCGGCGATCTGTGGCCGGGCGGTGGTCCGGCAATGATCGGCAGCTGGGTGGTGGTCCGACAAAGGTCAGTATGAACTCTGGCAGCGGTCGGTTGCCGGGCTGAAGTTCGGCGGCGGTCGGCGGCGGGGCGGTCGTCCGGCGATGGTTGGCGGCCGGGCGGTGGTCCGACGGAGGTCGAGCTGAATTCTAGCAGCGGTCGGTGACCGGGCAGTGGTCTGGAGATGATCGGCGGCTGGGCGGTGGTCCAAGGAAGGTCGGGCTGAAGTTTGGAGGCAGCCGGGCTGAAGTTTGACAGCGGTCAGCAGCCGGGCGGTGGTCCGACGAAGGTCGGGCTGAAGTCCGGTGGCTGTCGGTGGCCGGGCGGTGGTTCGGCAATGATCAGCGGCCGGACCACCGCCCGGGTGGTGGTCCGACGAAGGTCGGTCTGAAGTCCGGCATCAGTCAGTGGCCGAGCTAAAGTCCGGCGTCTGTCGATTGTTGGGCGATGGTCCGATAAAGGTCGAGCTAAAGT